GGACGGTAACAACGGAGGTCTTCGCAGCAAAAGCAGTACGAATATAGACCTCCAAGTTCACCAGGACATCTGTCGCGCTGCGGCACTTGCGGAAACCAAATTGAGAAGGGGAGAGGAGGTGATGGTGTTCCAGGAACCACATCAGACGAACGTTAACCATACGTTCAAAGAGTTTGCAGACACAACTTGTGAGAGCAATAGGGCGAAAGTCCTTAGGGGAAGTACCCAGAGACCCCGGTTTGCGAACAGGGAGGACAACGGCATCGAGCCAGTCCTCAGGGACCGACGACGACTCCCAGATCCGATTATACAGACTCATTAAATACTGAGACGTGCTCGGAGGGAGATGGCGAAGCATCTCATAATGAATACCATCGGAGCCCGCCGCCGTAGAACCGCAGAGGGCCAGGGCAGAACGAAGTTCAGAGAGAGAGAAGGGATCATTATAGGGAAGCTGAAGATGAGTGCAGAAATCTAAAGGACGAGACTCAAGGACAGGTTTACGAAGAAGGAAAGATTGGGGAAGATGAAGACCAGAGCTAACAGAAGTAAAGTGCATGGGAACCCAGTTCGGAAGCGACCTGCAACGGGTCCGCCACAAGAGTATCATGGAGGTGAAGGACCGGTGAAACATCGGGAACGAACTTACCCGCTATCTTGCGGATACGCTTCCAGATCTGGGCCAGAGGGGTTTCGGACGTAATTGTTGAGACATAAGATGCCCAACATTCACGTTTAGCCGTACGGATGGCCCTACGGGCCACCGCACTCGCTTTCCGAAAGAAAAGAAAAGAATCGGTCGTCTGCCTACGGCGGTGCTTCTTCCAGGCTGCACGCTTACAGCGGACAGCCCGAGCACAGTCCGCATTCAACCAGGGAACGCACTTCCGTGGACCCCGAGAGGAAGAGCGAGGAATAGAGTGGAGGGCAGCGTCGAAGACAGTGTCATGAAAAAGGAGGAGAGCGCGAGAGAGGGGCAGAAGGGAGAGGTCAGAGAGAGTAGCACTGAGGGAAAATAGGGTCCAGTCCGCCTTAGCAAACTGCCACCTAGGGAAAGAGAGGGAAGGGCGAAAAGAGAAAAAGGAAACAAGGATGGGGAAATGATCACTTCCATGGAGGTCATCAAGAACCTGCCACGTGAAATCTAAGTAAAGAGAAGAAGAGCAGAGAGAAAGATCAAGGCAAGAAAGGGTGCGAGTTCGAGAGTCCAAATGAGTGGGCTCACCAGAACTCAGAAGAGACAGGGAAGAAGAGAGGAGAAACGGCTCAAGGAGGCGACCCCGGGTATTCGTCAGAACGTCACCCCAAAGAGAATGACGACAATTGAAGTCACCCAGCAGGAGCACAGGCTCCGACAAGGAGTCTAGGAGGTGTTTCAAATCAGGAAGAGAGAGCGGGACACTCGGGGGAGATAAATGGAACAAACTGTGTACCATTTCCCCACAAAGATACGAGCAGCAGAACAATGGAGAGGCGAAGGAAAAAGTAAAGGAACAAAGGGAACATCAGCCCGAATCAAGAGAGCAGAAGAATTAGAAGCCCCAGCAATGGCTGGGGGGGGGGGAGAGAGAGGAATAGCCACGAAAACGACCAGGACGAGCACCAAGCATTGGCTCCTGGAGACAGACACAAAGGGGCGAAAACCGCGAAATCAGAAGTTGGAGTTCGAGGAAATTGGCGTAATAACCTCGAACGTTCCATTGAAGAATGGACAACGACGAGAAGAGAAAGGACAAAAACAGAGAACAAGGAAGAAACAAAGGCGAAAGAGCAACAGAGCACGTTAAAGAATATCAGGGTCGGGATCAGGGTCAGCAAAGTCAGGGTTAGGGGGCATGGGTAAACTGAGCAAAGACGGAGGGAAGGAAACGGGAGAACAGATCAGAGGTGGGCGGGCAGGGTCCGGAGGAGGAGGAGGAGGAGGAAGAGGAGGAGGAGGAAGAGGAGGAGACAACGGAGAGGAGCAGTCAAGGACAGCAGCAGGAAGAGGGGGAGTAGAAAGAGGGGAGCGCACCCCAGCAAGAGCAGCAACCGAAAGGGAAGCAGGGGCCAAAGAAACCTCCATAGCAGGAACAGGGGGCGCAAGCACTGAAACGGGAGGGGAAGGAGCAACAGAGCCAGAAGGAGGAGCTGAGGAAGAAAGCGAAGCCTTCTTACCCGCCGGGGAAGAGGAAGGAGAGGAGCCAGGCTTACGCTTCTGACTTAAAGAGACCGGTGTCCCAGCAACCACGTACCGGGCAACGGATTCCAGTGTCTCAACAGGAGAAGCCGAACGAGAGCACACACGACGGCCGTTAGGAGAGCGATGGACATCCGCTCGCACCGACAGGCGGTGGGGAGAGCCGATAGATGGAGGAAGAGGACGGGAAGGAGGATCGGAGGGGGATGAGGAAGAAGACACAGAAGACACGACAGACCGGGTAGAAGGAAGGGGAACCCCAGACAGAGGACCAGGAGGAGGATCCTTCGGGAGAGAACCCAAAGGGACAGAGGAGGGGGCAGTGGGCGCATCAGGGTCCAAGGCCCGGAAACGGTTGTGAGTCTGAGGAAGGCGGGAAGGACGAGGAGAGGAAGAGCGCAACACGCGAGCATAAGAGATATTAGCATAAGGCGGGAGCCGGCGAACCTGGCGCCTCGCCTCAGGAAAAGATAAACGCTCCCGGTGCTTCAAGTTGAGGACGGCTGCCTCAAGCTTGTAATGGACACACGCACGGGAGAAGGTAGGATGGGCCTCACCGCAGTTGAGGCAACGAGCCTGGGGAGAAGCGCACTCCGACTTAGAGTGACCTTCGCCACCACACAAAGGACAGAGAGAGACAGTCCCAGAGCAGCGGAGGGCACCATGCCCAAACCTCCAGCACTTGTTGCAGAGCCGAGGAGAAGGAATGTACTCCTGGACAGAGCACCTGGCACCAGCAAGAATGACAGAGGGTGGAAGGGTCCTACCATCAAAGGTAACCTTCACAACCCGGAGGGGTTGACGGCGACTACCACGAGGGGGACGAGTAAACGTGTCCACCTGGAGAATAGAATGGCCCTGGGCAGCGAGGATATGTCGAATATCGTCGTGGCAGTCGCGCAGGTCCCGAACACCGGTCGCAACATGGGGCGGGAGCAAAATAGTGCCAACACTGGCATTCAACTGAGGGTTCTTCGAGACCCGAACGGGGGTCTCGCCAAGGCAGGATAAGGCAGCCAAGCGGGAAGCAGCATCCTGAGAAGGAGCAGCAACGACACGTGTACCGAGACGAGTGGGGTTGAAAGTAATGGAGGCATCCACGGAATCAATGAGATGTCGATGGAGGGAGAAATCGTCAGGAGGTGCAGAATCAAGAGGGAGGAGATCAAAATATTTGGCCCACGAAGCGGGACCAAACAAGGCTTGATAGGTAGCAGAACTGGAAGGAATCGAGCGAGGGCGGCCGTGACGAGGACGGCGGTGAGAACCCCCAGAGAGAGAGGGGTTAAAAGGCGCAGTAGTTACAACTAGAGAAGGAGCCGCGCCAGGGGACGAGGTAGTCACCACTGGGGGCTTGGGGCTCGACCCAACCACAGAGGAGGGAGGGGAGCCAGAGGAAGGAGTCAGAGAGGCCAAAGGAGGAGCAAGGTCGGGGCCCAATGCAGCGGAGGCTACAGAGCCCGGTCTTCCAATACGGACCGACTCGGGGGCTTGGTCGCCCACCCCACGAGCCTGAGAAGGTAAACCAGAAGAAGCCGAAACAGGGGTTATCATCTTGACGAAAAGAAGAATTCACTCACGAATGTGCCCCCACAGCCACCATGGAGCCACAATTAGAGGCAGGACACCCAACAAGAAGCTATCGCCGATCTTGTCGGGGCCTCCTAGGGGTGCGTCGCGAGTATACGCCCCACAAACGCCACCTTAAGAAACCGACAGTCCGTCGAGATCGGGTTCAGTGACGAAGTGGGGATTGACAATAAAAGGTTCCCCTCGCTCTCGACGTCGGGTACTGCAGTTCTACAGGTGCAAGAGTATGCCTCCTCAAGCACCCGGGCGTCAAAATAGAAGAAGTCCAAAGGAAGAACCAGAACGAGCAAAAGGTCGGCAGGAAACGGCAAGCAGATAGGAGTAGAGGGGGGAGAAAAACGAAACAGAAGGAAAAGGAAAAGATGCCCAGCAGAATTGGAGAGGACGGCAGCAGGAGCACAAGGCTAGAAAAGGACAGAGGACTGTCCCAAGGAGCATCACACTCCGGCAGCCGCCCACTAAGCCCCCACACGGCGACAACGAGCTGAGCGGGGAGGGGGCTTAAGCTGTATAGTGTGATCCTCAACGAGGAAGCTTACATGAACAGTCTTTCTTTTGAACAGTCAGTGTGGCCTAGCAGTTAAAGTACTGGACACGCCAAAAGTGCATGGAGTCATAGCTGTCTGGGTTCGAATCCTTCAAGGTAAGGCGTTTTCTGTTGCATATTTGCTTGACGACCATTCAAGCTTATTTGTGTGTGTGTATGTATGTATATTAAAAAAAAACGTTTTTCTTACTATATCGTAAAACATTAGGTACAAATCTTGCCAAAATTAATAACAAATTCTGCTCATACTTTGCACACGATAGGCCAAGTTAATGACATAACACCGTGACCAGCAGCGTTACCACCCTCACAATAGGGGTCAATGGATCACATCCCTATTTATATGTTGTAGTACACCAGTACATATATGTCGACCTTTCCCCAAATACACACACCTTCACAGCTCATTCAGCGTATCACATGACCTGAATATGTCCAGGTGGCATACAGAATGTTTCAAAGTGAAAATATCAGAGGCAGGAATGGATATATTATATATATAATATATATATATATATATATATATATATATATATATATATATATATATATAATATATATATATATATATATATATATATATATATATATATATATATATATAATTATATATATATTATATCTACTTGTTTTAAGAGTGTTTATTGTTCAACTTATCCCCCAGGCAGTTTTGTGCCCTGGCCACTATACCTTCTTCATGGTCAGGTCGAGAGACCTCGTGGAGGAGGAGGGGCTGTCTGGAGCCTCGAGCCAGCGGTGCAGCTTGTGTAGCTCCTGGTCCAGCTTCACCACCTCCCGCCGGTACACCTTGTTCTGTACCTCCGCTCGGTAGTACTTCTCTCGCTTGTCCTCCGTCAGCAGCCTGCACCACGGTCAAGGACAAGAATATAAGAACTCTTGTATAGAAAAAAATAATACATAAATGGATGATTGGTATAGTGAGAGACTGCCTGACAGAGCCTCCATTCACTGTGCAGACTACAGTGTAGAGCCCACAGTCACTGTTGGGTATGGGTATAGGAATAAATTTACAGTTATCTCAAGACACCAAGTCGTTCCAGCATGGATCCTCCAACTTATGTTTTACTGCTAAGTTCTTGCTAGCTTGCCTCAATGTACTCCCCCATAGTGCACGCTGGCACTCACCCGAGGACGAGTTGGGTGTTGTGATTTTTGTTTTCCATGGACGTGTTCGAGAGAGTTCTGTTAAATGGTAATTTACCATCTGCTATTTAATTCACTTTGGTAAATGAGAGAGAGTTGTGGGTTGGGATAAATTAATCAGAGATAGGAGAGAGAGAGAGATGAAAATATGATTAAAGATATAGAAGATGATGGCAAAGAAAAGACAAAGAAACAGCCGGGAACAATAATGTAAGAGGAAGGGAGGAATGTGGATAAAAGTAAGTAAGAGAAGGGGGAATATGGATAATAATGAGGTAAGGAAGAGGGAGGAATACCGTGGAGGGAGTTGTCTCTCTGGAGACACAACTCTGCAACTTGCCCAGAAGACTTAGCTAATAGTTACCTGATTAATAATTAACCTGGAACTGACGTAGCCCTGGTCGGATGGCAACATCACTGCCCCCCCCCCCTCCCCATTGGCCGGCTACCAGCAACACCCCAATCCTTGGCCGGCTGCCAGCAACACCCCAATCCTTGGCCGGCTGCTAGCAACACCCCAATCCTTGGCCGGCTGCCAGCAACACCCCAATCCTTGGCCGCCTACCAGCAACACCCCAATCCTTGGCCGGCTGCCAGCAACACCCCAATCCTTGGCCGGCTGCTAGCAACACCCCAATCCTTGGCCGGCTGCTAGCAACACCCCAATCCTTGGCCGGCTGCTAGCAACACCCCAATCCTTGGCCGGCTGCCAGCAACACCCAAATCCTTGGCCGCCTACCAGCAACACCCCAATCCTTGGCCGGCTGCTAGCAACACCCCAATCCTTGGCCGGCTGCTAGCAACACCCCAATCCTTGGCCGGCTGCTAGCAACACCCCAATCCTTGGCCGGCTGCTAGCAACACCCCAATCCTTGGCCGGCTGCTAGCAACACCCCAATCCTTGGCCGGCTGCTAGCAACACCCCAATCCTTGGCCGGCTGCCAGCAACACCCCAATCCTTGGCCGCCTACCAGCAACACCCCAATCCTTGGCTGGCTACCAGCAACACCCCAATCCTTGGCTGGCTACCAGCAACACCCCAATCCTTGGCCGGCTACCATCAACACCCCCCTTCTTGGCCGGCTACCATCAACACCCCCCTTTCTTGGCCGGCTACCAGCAACAAACACCCCCCTCCCACCTCCCCAACGGGTGGAGGGGTGTTGCTGGTAGCCGGCCAAGGAAGGGGGTGAAGTGATGTTGCCAGCTGGCCAGGTTGAGGTCAGTTGCAAGCTAATTATTAACATATCCTCGAGGCTTAAGGCCAGTCTCTCCTCGATACTGATACATTCTCTCGACCGCCTCCGTGGTCGTCATCCTCTTGGCGTAGTAAACATCACTTGATCGTAGGTCCCTTCTGTCTTCCGTAATCCTTGCTGGTGCTCCGTTCAGGAGTACATCCCGTTTGATTGACTGGTTGATGAAGATTTAGCCACCCAAGAGGTTGCACGGGCATGAATAGCCCGTAAGTGGTAGATTTTTTGTTTTTTAGTGAATGTATACTGTGTGTTGAGGTCACATTGAATCGTCAGGCTGCTATCACGGGAGAGGGTAATGCTTGACAATATTTATGAGGGTGTCCAGCTGCTGGACACCTTTGTTGACCAGAAGAGTGGCTGTGTTGATGGCTTCAGGCTGGTTACTGCAAGATTCAGGGACTCATAAAGTTCTTCTAAGATCGTTAGTTGCTTCATATTCCAGGAGATAGTGAAGTAATGGCTTTTTTGTGACAGTTTGGCAGAAGATGCATTTTTTCTGTCATGGTTCACAATTCTCCCAGTTGCATCTGTAACCTAGACGTAGTCTATATAACCTAACTGCTATTTCCCTGTGGATCCCTTTTGGGATGTTTAACCTTTTTAACTTGGTTGCCTGAAGATACCATGTTGCAGATGGCGAACCTTCAGCTATTCTCTGGTGTAGGTAGGCTTTGTTGTGACTTGAGAGGTTTTTGGTGATGATGATTTTATGTTCTCTAGGCTGGGTTGAATTGTTTTATGTATCACTGGATGACGAGTTGCTAATTTAGCAATTTCATCAGCTTTCTCATTTAATGGGATTCCAACATGGGATGGGATCCAGTTTAGGGTTATGGTGAGCCTTTAGCGACTGCTCAAAGATACAAAATGGTGGTAATTATTTCCATGTTGTCTTTCCACTGCCTTTTTCCTAGTATTTGAAGTGCTGCTTTTGAGTCTGTGTGTACGATTACATTTTGAGTGTTTTGTTCAATCACATATGCGAATGCCTGTTGTATGGCAAACAGCTCAGTTTGGGTTGATGATACTAGTCCTCCCAGTCTCCAATATGCCTGTACGCTGGTCGTGCAAAGAGCAGCGCCAGCACTCTCATATTCTGTGTTAACCGATCCGTCTGTGAAGATGTGGGTGGCTCCTGCTACTGCTATGCTATACATTTGCTCTTCTATGATGCGCCTTAAGATTGTTGGATCATAGGCAGCCTTTTTCATTGAGAGAATTTTTATAACTATTTTGTAGGTAGGCTCCTCCCACAGTGGGGAACAAGTGTAGTTTGGGTGCGGATGATCACCTCCTCTATCAAGGATAATGTTTTTTAATTGTAGTTTGTTTAGGACTTCTCCTTCTCTGGCAGCCCAAGAGTTTCCGTTGTTTTAGCCAAGACCAACCACCAAGGCCTGTCGTAATGGGACTGGATCAGGGGAAACACTTATCTTACTCATAATTGCAGCTGTTCTTTGAGATATTCTTTCTTGAAGAGAGGATCTTCAGAGCCACATTTACACTAGCAAGCCTATCACAACAACAGTGGAAAAAAGCTTGAAGTAGCACAAAACAATGCTATGAGAGCTGCTCTGGGAGCCGCTCTGTGGCCCAGGATTAAAACTATAAGACTCGAAGCGGGTTTGCCCTCTCTTCAAGTACATTCAATCTCCTTGCCTCTGTAATAAGTGCTGGAGATTGGGGCATGGTCCCTTCAGGTGCACAAGTGAGGTCTCTATGCCCCTTGTGTGGAGACTTGGGTCATTCTAAGACGGAGTGCTCTTCTTCCCAGGATTGCTGCATTAATGGCGGTGACGCCGACCCTGCCTTCTCCCCACACATGTGTACACTACAAATTTGAGGAAGTTATCCTCAATTTAAAACATTGCGATCATTTATATTTCCCCGAGGCGAGACGCCACGTTCGCCGTCTTCCCTCTTTCTCCAACATGTCTTATGGTTGTGTGTTGCGTTCCACTTCTCAACCTCTTCCACTTTCTCAATTCCATAACCGTTTCTAGTCCTTGGACCTCGACACCTCCACCACCTCCCCGCCTTCAGCTCCTCTTCGTTCTGAAACCGATGATCTTCCTCAAGGTTCCACACCTGGTGTTTCCTTCCTGCCCGGTCTTCTCCCTCTTGTTGTCTTTGTGTCATTTCCCCACCTACTCCATCTTCCCTGTTCCTTCCTTCTCTTCTCGACCCCATCGTTCTTCTCAGCCTGCCCCTCTGTCTTTTGCCCCTCCACAACCCCTGTCCATCCAGGCCAGCTTCTGGGCTTCCGGACCAAAGGGTTTGGCAAGCTGGGGATCGAAGAACTTGAGGACAAGGATGAAATCCCAGGAAACAGGAAGAGGGCGGCGATGAGAGGGGCAGAAAGATCAGTGGCCTGTCCACTGTGGATTGGAGTGGTCGTTTGTGTTTTAGTATTTTATCCAATTTTCTTCTTTATTCATAAGGCATCAGGCTGCTTGGCGACCTGGGAGGCTTGATGGCGAGTTGAGGGCAAGGAGGAGTGGTTCAGTCTTGTCGATGTTGACTTGATGGTGTGTTGGTAGATGCAATCTTCTTTCTTCATTCTTCTTACCGATGTTTTGACTTCTTTTTCTTCTTGTTAGGGTCTTTAGTCTTCATGTAGGTCTTGCTTCGTGTTTAAATGGTAGTACTGGCGTTCGAGTTTTTGTTGGTTTGGTAGTCCTCTCGGTTGATTCTTTGAGGAGAGTATGAAGTCCCAACTGAGATGTCGTCTGATGAATCAGCTGAATCCAAGTTGCTATAGACAATTGAAGGTTGAGTTGCAGCAGTAGGTCCTGTCGCTGAAGCAGAAGGTTCTGTGAGCTCACAGACGATGGGTGGAACTGTAACAGATGTCGATGGATGAGAAGGCGGCGGCTCCGTTGTAGTAGCTGCCGTAGCGGGCATTGCAACTGCGAATAGCAGGTCAGTAAGGGTGGTCGTGTTCCCCTCGATGACCGGGTCAGCAGCTGGAGGAGAACTTGTGGCTGGCATCAAGGTGGTGTAGACTGCGTCTGGTACAGTGACGGTTGGGGAGATCATTAGCAGAGTAGAGAATATTCAAGACCTTCACAAATGCCTGTGGGTTGGAGCCGGCAATCATCCTTGCCGTCGTTGTTAAAGCATGTACAGTGCTGTACAGTGATTGGTCTGGGGTGAGATGTGGGTGGCGACTGCTGGTTCAGAGAATGGCTGGCGGTCCGGGAGCTGGGACCCCATTGACTGGACTGGTGTTTCGTGGCTTCAGGCTGGTGAGCAGTGAATTTTCCTCCTGGAAGCTGCGGGAAAATAGCGGCTTGAACGTTGAAGGGTGGCTCGGCTTGTGATTGGTTGGGTGGAGCCGAAGTGCTTGAGTTGGTGCTAGTTGCAGAAGAGGATTTGGCTTTTTCCAGATTCTTGATAGCCTCTTGTCTGCAGGGGCATCAATTGGGAAATTGCAGGG